GGGTGCTCCTGGGCGTGCTCCTGTGGGTGCTCCTGGGGGTGCTCCTGGGGGTGCTCCTGTGGGTGCTCCTGGGGGTGCTCCTGGGGGCACTCTTGTGGGTGCTCCTGTGGGCACGGTGGCCTGGGCAGAAAGGAATGGCACCCTCAGTGCCTCCTAAGCAGCTGCTCTCCTGTTCTCCAGGTCTCCCTTGAAGGTGGCGGTGACTCAGCAGTCCCCGGGCAGGACTTGCTGACTGTCAACACAGGAGATTTTAAAATGAAGTCCAGCCATGGCCTGGGAGAAGTCCAGCAGGGTTCCAGATGGCATGGAGTGGCCTGGGGCAAGTCCACCAGGGTAGGATGCTCTGGGACCCTCTCTCAATCCAAGCAGACGGGTGATGGGTGCTCTGCAGCCCTTGCTCCCCAGCCCGGCCGGGCTCTGTGGCTGGCACCAGAAAACAGGGTCAGGGAGCCTTAGGAGAGTCCTGGGGCCTTCTGGGGAGGTGGGCTGAGCTTGGCTCTGTGGACTCTGTTCAGAAGAAGAGCGAGGTGGTCTCGGACGCGGACTTGCACTGTGTGCTGGAATCACGGGAGCAAAGGAGCGTGACACACGGGAGCGCTGTGAGCGACCAGGTGTCTTTCCTTCATTCAGAAAACGAGGCCCTGGGGGAAGCAGCTGTCGTGAGCTCCCGCGGGCGGGAGGCAGAGAGCCAGCCAGCCCTGAGCAGAGAGACCACCAGGTGGGGGCACTTGGCGAAACAGCCCTGTGGGAGATGACCAGGGAGAGGCCACAATGGGGTCAAAGCTGAAGAGAGGGAAGCAGGCCCCCCCACCCCCGCCAGCATGCCCCCAGGGGACAGGGAGGAAGAGGCTCTGGAGGAGCAGCGCAGGTGCAGGGCTGAGGCAGATGTGACTGCGGCAGGAGGAGCCTGCAAGGGCCGGAGCTGGAGCTGAGCCCCGCTGGGTCCTCAGCCTACGCTGCACCCCAAGAATCCTGCAGCCCAGGCTTCTCCCCGGGGAGCAGGAGCAGTGGCCGTGGGGAGCACCCAGAGCTGCGGTGCAGCACCCGAGCTGAGCAGTCCTGTGTGGCTGAGCACAGGTGAGCCTCGGGGGAACTGGACCCAGATGGCGTCCACAGAGACAGTCATGGGATCGAGGCCTGGGAAGACGCTCGGGCGTTGAGGTCAAAGGAGGGGGCGAGGCCCTGGGG